TGGTGGGGCTGACTTCACAGGGGGCTGAGGGGCAGGGCCAAAAGTGGGCAATTTGGCTATATTGCTATAAATGACTTCTTCTGTGGAACTGTGCCTTGGATATTGATCATATTTGGTCGGAAGCATTCATGGAAGGCAGAGATTCAAAATTGTACAAATGGCAGCCCCAGGCTAAGGGGTGGGGCCAATTTTTTTTTATTACTTGGAAATGGTTGAGATCCCCACCGTATAACCATATATAAAATTGCTGAGTATAAAAAGAAGACCGCATTTGCTTCCAGGATGGCCCTAGGGTCTGGCCCAACCTTGGATACATAGTCCCTGGGTCATAATTTTGAAACGGTTAAGATCCCCACCCCAAAACTATAAATACAAATGCTGGGCATAAAGAGACAAATGCAGTCATGATATTATAATTGATCCTGGGGTCTTGCCACAACCCTATGGATCTAGTTTCTGAGTCACAGCTTGTAAACAGTTGAGATCCCCACCCCATAACCATACATAAAATTGCTGGGCTTGAAAAATCTAATACAGACATACTACAAGAATTGGTATTGGGGTCTGGCATATTACCTTGGATCTCATTTGGAGAATATTTTGTCATGATTGCTTAGATATCCAGGTGAGCGATACAGGCCCAGAGGGCCTGTTGTTTAAGTCATCATTCTATAAAGCTTTATCATTATTTTCGTCACTGTATGTTAGATTTATCATTATATTCAGATTTTTATTTGTCCTGATTTCTTATTGCACTTCGCTTTACCTTTTTAGAACTATTTGCTGTAGAAATATACTCCACACAATCATACGCACAACATGTCACTTTTTGTGGTTAACATTTGTTTTCTTAGCTTCCATTTTGTATCATCTGAAATTCAAGGGATTTAGGTACTGTATTTAAAATGATTAGTGCCCCTCTCCCTCTTCTCTTCCCAATTCTGACCTGGCTCAGTCAATGATTTACAGTACTTTAAACTTGAAATCAGAGATTTATGTCTGGAGATCATGGCTGAACTTCCTGTGAAGACGATGAACCATTTGATATCCAAACCTCCAGTCACACTGGGATGTTTATTATGTCCTGCTGTTATACGGTAGAGACGGTTTAAGTTGCACAACTTGTTCTATCAGAACTCATGTTTTATTATCCTAAAAAACACTCCCCCTTTCAGCTAATTATAAAGTTAATTTTCCCCCCAAAAAGGTTACTTTTTCTGAAAAATTATAGCTTTTGCAAATGACGAAGATGTTGAAAATTCAGTGAGATTTGAAGCAATATTTTGTTTGTTTTAAAAGCTGCTACATATTTGGAAAAGTGTAACAAAATGTGAGTAAACATTTTCAAGAAAGACAGTCTGTATGCGGTCTTTTTTCGGAAATGAGTTTTTAAGTAATTTGATGCAATAAATGTTTCATAATCAAATTAAACATAAACTAGTTGTGGCTGTTTATGTCTTTGCTTCAGTGTTGCCCCAATTATTCTACCCCGGAATCAGGGTATCTGTCTCTCTGACCATCTCTCTCTAGAAAGAATCTTGTCTGGAAATCAACTCCTAATTTCCACCTGAATTTCATGAAACTGCAGTGTTGTAGTCACCTTACTCTGAAGTTGTGGGCCTGCACCTACTTTTCTGATCCAGCTGTTTTCACAGGAGTTTTTTTTCTCTTTCACAACATTATTCGTCAAATTTTGTCCATCCAATATTTTTCGTTGAAAATGTGAAAATCCATGGATACCATTCCCACACTCAAAAGTTATATGCACCTGTTCCCACATTTGTTTGCTGAATGTATTGAAGTTATGTCCTTTTTTTAGAACTCTTTGCCAAATTTTGTTCATTCTTATTTCAAAAGAAGTGGTCATAAAAACATCAAATTCTTTATGAAACTTGCAACACTTTGCCATTACTACAGATAGCTGTACAACACATAGCCATTACTACAGATAGCTGTCCAACACATTGCCATTACTACAGATAGCTGTACAACACTTTGCCATTACTACAGATATCTGGACTACACATTGCCATTACTACAGATAGCTGTACAACACTCTGCCATTACTACAGATAGCTGTACAACACAGCCATTTCTACAGATAGCTGTACAACACATTGCCCTCTACTACAGATAGCTGTACAACACATTGCCATTACTACAGAGAGCTGTACAACACATAGCCATTACTACAGATAGCTGTACAACACAGCCATTTCTACAGATAGCTGTACAACACATTGCCCTCTACTACAGATAGCTGTACAACACATTGCCATCTACTACAGATAGCTGTACAACACTGCCATTAATACAGATAGCTGTACACACTGCCATCTACTACAGATAGCTGTACAACACATTGCCATTACTACAGATAGCTGTACAACACTGCCATTAATACAGATAGCTGTACACACTGCAATCTACTACAGATAGCTGTACAACACATTGCCATCTACTGCAGATAGCTGTACAACACATTGCCATCTACTGCAGATAGCTGTACAACACATTGCCATCTACTGCAGATAGCTGTACAACACATTGCCATCTACTGCAGATAGCTGTACAACACATTGCCATCTACTACAGATAGCTGTATACTACAGATAGCTGTACAACACACTGCCATTACTACAGATAGCTGTACAACACTTTGCCATTACTACAGAAAGCTGTAAAACACATTGCCATTACTACAGATAACTCTACAACACATTGCCATTACTACAGATAGCTGTACAACACATTGTCATTACTACAGATAGCTGTACAACACACTGCCATTACTACAGATAGCTGTACAACACTTTGCCATTACTACAGAAAGCTGTACAACACATAGCCATTACTACAGATAGCTGTACAACACTTTGCCACTACTACAGATAGCTGTACAACACATTGCCATTACTACAGATAGCTGTACAATGCAGTGGTCTTTTTTTGTTGGTTATTTCTATGGGAGAGAGACGATTAGTCTCTCGCTTACAGTTCTGGTCTGAGTAGTCTCCCCTGATGTGTTCACAAATGTATTCCCTTACTTAGTCACTAGGTTCTTAATTCAATTAGGCAGAGCAACTTCAACACAACCTTCCAAAAATTTTCATTCAGTTATTAAATATTCTTTTTGGGTAATAAAATCATTTGTTAGTTTTTACAGACATACTTTTTCACACAACATTACAATTGCATTAACTGTAGCCTATGTAACCTTCTGTTGATAACAACTATTGTATACAAATATGTAATATATAATTTGTACAGAGCTAGAACCTGATCAGTATACGAAGTCCTCTTTCTCCAAAGAGTTGAGAATTTATTTTCTAATGTTACCTTCTTTCATTTTTTTGGAATTTTTTTGTTTGGATTTTTTTTATTGGCAATAAAAGAAATTTGGATTGACATTATATCTAGGTATATGACAACTTTTAATAAAGGAATATAGCTAGGGGACCCCGCTGGACTGTCTGACTCGCTGGACTGTCTGACTCGGGCACTGATTGATAAAGTTAATACAAGTCTGTGTAGTATCATACATACACCCACACACATTCCTATAAAACACATCTGTTTCACATCTTCATAATCTTGTGCTTTTATTCATGAACATCAAAATAATCCTAGACACCGCAAATACATTGACCAGATGTTAGATATATGGGTCAGATTTTGAAAATCTGTAGCATCCACATGAAGGATCCAAGGAAAAAGTTTTGTATGTTCAAGGTAAAAATAAGTCTAGTTCCACAACAAAATAAAGAATATAAAGAATTGATAAAGTAAACATTCAAGATCAAAGATTTGGTTCCAAATGAAGTACTGAGTACGATAGACTACTACCCACAAGATACGGGAAGTCCTATTGACACTGTGGTATGTATGTATTTTGTGCATGCAAACTGAATGCAGTTTAAGTTTAGAGCTTTACAGAATCTCTTGTGCAAAAAGAGTAATTTTGTTTTGTTATTTATACAGCTTACAGTATAAGATCAAAACTCTTAACTTTGCATGAAATAATAAAAAAGAAAGAAACAACAAAAATTCAGCAGAGCAAAATCATAGATTATACTAGTAGTCGAGTTATTTTGCAACATTTACATACAAAACTGATGAAAAAATGATAAGATATATGTAAGATATAAGGTGCATGGTTTGAATTTAAAATGCATGTAACCTTATGCTGAAGAGCATGAACTTCTTCAATAAAATTCTTATTTAATCAACCGAATCAAAATCAATGCTAACTTTGATAGTGTGTCAAATACAAGACAACGCTTAAGTATAACAGTGCAGTGTACATATAGGCTCCACTGGTATACATGTAAACAGAGGTTGGACAGGCTCGCGCTGTGTCTGAGCTGACTGCAGACAGCCATGTAAACAGAGGTTGGACAGGCTCGCGCTGTGTCCGGGCTGACTCTGCAGACAGCCATGTAAAGGCATGTAATGATGTGTCAATTCATGCATTTATCTCTAGCTTTTAAAGGTTCAAAAAGACAGGAGGCATTTTTAACATAAATATAAATAGGTTATCTGTTGATGCACTTATAACCATCAAATAGGTTTCCAGTTTACATGTCATTGTATCCTCTTATGGTAAAACTGAAAACCTTTTTATTTGTCCATTACAGGTCTAATACTAATTCATTGTTTAGGAATGCTGAACCAGACTGGGGGTCATTTTACAGTTTTCAACTTTTTCACTGGGCTGGTTTCGATGTATCTGTATTAGATTTTCTCAAATGTCATGGACCCATTTCTGTGCATATGGCCCATGGCCCCTACCCTTTATAATCCCAATAACGATGTTTTTGTGTCATATTGAATTTCATACAGCAACAGTAAACTGACATTCTCCATGTCTTGTCTCTGTGTCGAACCAGTTTCCTACCTTTAATGCTCTGGTTTCTTTGAATTGAATTTACTTCATTGAAATAGTTTTGTTTTAATTACAAAATAAAAAGACCTAAGGTTTTACTTTTTTTTATTTACAGGTCAAAAAACATGTCAGTGAATGAAGGGGTGATTTTCTGCACACCACACTTCAAACAGCTGTTTGCCAGAAGGGGTAACTATGATGAGGGATTCGGACGGAAGCAGTACAAAAAGAAATGGGCAGCGGAAGAGAATGGAGAAACCAGTTAAATATTTGTAGGATTTAAGTCATGAACTCTTCTCATACCATACTTTGTATAGCCAGCTGTCCATAATATTATTTTATTGTATTCCTTCTGGTACCACCAAGTAAATGTCGTTGAGTGTGGCAGAGGTCTGTTCTGTCTGTCTGACAGTACCACTAACTGACTGAGGTAACTGACTCAGTTCTGTGTTCCAGTATTACTGTGTTAGGAAACTTTGGAGACTTGGAAATACTGCATTTTACTTAAATTTCATTGGATGTCTGTTCTTGATGTTATGCCTTATACGCCGTTATTGTACGGTTTTCATTGTGATAGTGACTAAAGCATGGTCTGCTAGTGCTGAACAATACTTCAGGACATTGGTGAAGTCCTCCAGCTCACAGATGATGCTGAAGTTTGTACAACACTAAATTCCTTCTGAAATCTGAGTAATTTGTAGCTTGACGGAAAAGGCTTGCCACAAGATACTGGAAATAATGGATAGTGTGTGCAATCAAGACTATAATGATGATCAAATCCAATCTAATTTTTCTATATACAATATAAACAAAATGAAATGTCCGTATCACTGGATATGTTAATTACTTAACTATGTAATTGATGAAAGATTAACGTAATAAATGTCTGTAAAACTAAAAAAAAAAAGTTTTTACTGAATATGTCATAATTTTGACATATGCAGTTTAAATAATATGATAATATATTCTTTGATATTTTGATTCGTTTGATTTCGGTTTATGAAACAAATTTTGCCTTAAATGTTAAGATGAAATTGTGTAGTAAATTATCAGTGGTATCTGTATATGGACCAGAAGTTCTTTTATGATTCATGACACAAATTTTTAATAAAAAAATGTTTTTTTTGTGTTTCGGGAAATGGAAATGACACAATTCTGTGATGAAGTCCAGCAACCAAACGATATCTTTCATACTTCAGTTTTTCAAATTTTTCATCAAAATTACAAAGAAGGAATTTGAATTATTTTTTTCTGGTATCAGTACAGTACTTATGTCATTGTTAAACAGTCGCACCCGTAAAAATCTTCCAATTCCTTTTTGTCCGTTTTATACAGGTACCAGTATTTTTTGTTTTGTTTATTAATTGAATCATGAACTATGCAACTGGTGCTGCTGTGTGAGACGGAACACGATTGTACACAGTAGACATTTTATACAACCTGTGTACGACTCATTGTCTTATTCAATGTGTTTCTGTGTGAGACGGAACACGATTGTACACAGTAGACATTTTATACAACCCGTGTACGACTCATTGTCTTATTCAATGTGTTTCTCATCTAGCTTTTGCTTTTGTACGTTCCTTGACGATCTATTTTGACAAAATTGTTTTCTCTTGATATTTTATAAAATGTGATTTTGAAAAAAACAAATATATGATTGATGATGGATGAGTTAAATTACATGTTGTAGGTGATCTCAAATTACTGTCCACCTTTAACTTAAGTCGTGCTTTTGTCTACTTTTCATGCAATTTGTACGCAAATGTTTTTGGCAATGATGAAAGAGTTAAAAAGCAATTTGACTACCTGTTGCTGTAGGTAATATTGCCGTCAGTACTTGGAAGACACAAAGCCAGGAACCTTTGCACAGGTGACTCCGTGGTCGAGCTCTTTTACCTGTGTAATTTATCATCTATCTAAAAAAATGTCCAAGAAAAATCGTAAGGCCAAAAGATTTTTTTGAAATTATATGTCAATTTTCAAGGTTTTTACATTTTTAAATGCGTAGACCGTTAGAGGTCTTGACTGTATTAAGTATAGAAGCATTCATTTAATGTATTAAGTATAGAAGCATTCATTTAACAGAGGATATAACTTCTAAGTCTTCTATTACAGGCCTATTTCTACAGCAGATTACAGGCACAATTCAACAATCAATGATTTGACAAAAAATAATAATTGCATGGGGGAACATTTTGTGTACTGAATGAGAAGATGTACTGAATAAAATGCAGTAGGTTCTTAGGGTTTATTTATATTTATTTATTATAATTATTCGGATCGGGAGGTTTCACCTGAAGAAAGTTGTACATGTAAGTAACACTGTGCTATTATATGTATGGGGCCAATTTCAACAACAGGAAATGCACCCTTCTAGAAAACAAAACTGGTTTTCACCAGGAAATAAAAATAAGTCTTATTATACAGTACTGACATAGGAAATGTGATACAGGAATGATATGTAAGAACGATGGTGATAGTTTACCTTGGTAACATACGGTTGCCTAGTAACATGATGTGGACATGTCGTTGATATGTGTATGAATGTTTTACACCGAGAATTGACAATTGTTTTGTAATTGTTGCTTGCTAGCTTATTGTGTAAACGATATTATGCCTATAATTGTTGTGTATATATATTATATATAACTTTCTTTTCAGAAGCTGTCTTTTTGTAGAGCTGTAGCGTTGTAGTAGTACAGTGTATTTCATTATAAGTATAGATTTCACTTCAAAACATTTTAAAGATATCTTTCACATTATGAATTTAATAAGAATTATTTTTTCATGTTTTTTTTTTTAACATTATAATCATGTGAAGTTCAAAAACTTCCTAATCATAGTCTACATTTTTTCACAAGTGCAAGTTGAAATGAAATACCAGTGCTTGATGCATAGGAATTTTGCAATAAATAAACAAATTTTAAGTTCAGGAAGTTTTTGTGTTTTGTGTTTTTGAGAAACGGTAGATAGAAACTACATTATTGTCTTGGGTTATCAAGTGGTCATGTGTTTTACTGTTAATGCATTTGTCCTTCAGGGATGGTGTCTGCACTTGTTTTACCAACTCATGTAAAATAGGTATGATTTCTACAAAGGATTAAAGTTATCGCATGGCTTGAAGTAAAAGATTTAAGCCCTCTCGAACTAACGATAGGAATCAAGTATCACAAAATTTAATCTACAATATACGTACACTATACTTGTGAAGAAGTCATGTAAGAACACTATGCTGAAGGTCATGTGGTTCGAATAATTTCCTACTGTTGAGTAATCAAAGAAATATATGAATATGAAAGTTTTATTTTGATTTGGTATAGTAACAAACTACAAACAACTAAGCTCTAATGAGCTTTTAACCGAATACATACAAGCATATTTTTACAACAACATAAAAACAAAATCATGCAAGCAAACTAAAAATAGAGAAAGCACACATAAAAGTAAGCAAGCACTAAAAATGGCAGAGCAATTATTTATATGCAAGCATATGCAATAAAGAAGGACAATAATAATACAAAGGCACATTGAAATTAGCTGAAAGCATATCTGCAGAACAGCGGCATTCTGAGCCATTCCAGGACTGTATAAGAATCTTGAAATGAGAGAAACTGTTTTCCGTCCTGAATTGGTCCGGAAGACTGTTCCACAATGTAGCAGCAGCAAATTTAAAACTTTTTTTACCATAGGTTGTAACTTTTTTTACCATAGGTTGTAGTTCTTATATTTGGAATGTCCAATACATTATTATATATGAACAAATATTTAGATTGTTTTACCTTTAATAAATCTTGTAAACATACAGGTGACAGCTTATTTACAATTCTAAAAGTTTCAATTGCCATTGTTCTCATTCTTCTGACCTGCAGAGAAGGCATCTTCACCTTTTCAAGTAAATTCTCTTATGAGCTTGAAAAGTCTCCATATACAAAACGGAGTGCTCTTTCTTGCACTTTTTCTAATTTTTTTTAGAATTTTTCTCTGTGCAGAAATGCCATGCCGAAGGGCAGAAATAAAAATTACTTAAAATGAAAGAATGAAAGATGGTTAATTTACTCAGTCTGTTCAAAAAAGTGCTTAAACGTTTGAGAATATTCAGTTGCTGGGATGCCTTCCTGCAAATCTTCCTTATTTGTACATCAAAATTTAGTTGGTAATCAATATCTATGCCAAGCAATTTAACAGTTGTTTCACATGACAGTCCAGTGTTTTGAATACGAATACAAGGATTTTTACAATAAGTGTTTTTACCAGCAGCCAAAACTTGAAATTTATCAGGGTTTGCTTGCATCTTATTTACCCTGAACCAATCTATTAGTTGAAGTGACTCAGATTCCAATGTTGAAATTAAAATATAATCAGGACTACAGAATGAAAGGGTATTATCATCTGCATAATTGTACAATGAACCCTCTTTAATAAATTAAAATGTCATTTATAAAAATGTTAAATAGAAGGGGCCCAAGGATAGATCCTTGGGGTACCCCTCTCTGGATGTCAGCCCAGCTACTAAGAATAGAATTTAATTTTATCTGTTTTCTATCGGACAAATTTGATTTTAGAGCAAAATTTCATGTGGGAGGCAGTCAAAAGCTTTTGAAAGGTCCATCAAAACAGCAGCAATATAAAGGTTTTTATCAAGTGCTAAACGCCAATCTTCAAGTAGTCTTAGTAGTGTGGTTTGACATTCCTGTTACTTACCACTATACCAAGTGTAGAGAGCTTCCTGTCACTTAACAGTATACATGATGTAGAGAAATCCCTGTTACTTACCACTATACGCAGTGTAAAGAGGTTCCTGTCGCTTAACAGTGTACATGATGTAGAGAAATCCCTATTACTTACCACTATACCCAGTGTACAGAGATTCCTGTCACTTAACAGTGTACATGATGTAGAGAAATCCCTGTTACTTGCCACTATACAAAGTATAGAGAGCTTCCTGTCACTTAACAGTGTACATGATGTAGAGAACTCCCTATTACTTGACACTATACCCAGTGTAAAGCGGTTCCTGTCACTTAACAGTGTAAATGATGTAGAGAAATCTCTGTTACTTACCACTATACTCAGTGTAAAGAGGTTCCTGTCACTTAAGAGAGCTTCCTGTCACTTAACAGTGTACATAATGTAGAGAAATCTCTGTTACTTACCACTATACTCAGTGTAAAGAGGTTCCTGTCGCTTAACAGTGTACATGATGTAGAGAAACCCCTGTTACTTACCACTATACCCAGTGTAAATAGGTTCCTGTCACTTAACAGTGTACATGATGTAGAAAAATCACTGTTGCTTACCACTATACCCAGTGTAAAGAGGTTCCTGTCACTTAACAGTGTGCACGATGTAGAGAAATCCATATTACTTACCACTATACCCAGTGTAAAGAGGTTCCTGTCACTTAACAGTGTGCATGATGTAGAGAAATCCCTGTTACTTTCCACTATACCAAGTATAGAGAGCTTCCTGTCACTTAACAGTGTACATGATGTAGAGAAATCTCTGTTACTTACCACTATACCCAGTGTAAAAAGGTTCCTGTCACTTAACAATGTACATGATGTAGAAAAATCCCTGTTACTTACCACTATACCAAGTGTAAAGAGCTTCCTGTCACTTAACAGTATACATGATGTAGAAAAATCCCTATTAATTAACACTATTCCCAGTGTAAAGAGGTTACTGTCACTTAACAGTGTACACGATGTAGAGAAATCCATGTTACTTACCACTATACCAGGTATAGAGAGCTTCCTGTCCCTTAACAGTGTACATGATGTAGAAAAATCCCTATTAATTAACACTATTCCCAGTGTAAAGAGGTTACTGTCACTTAACAGTGCACATGATGTAGAGAAATCCATATTACTTACCACTATACCAAGTGTAAAGAGGTTCCTGTCTCTTAACAGTGTACATGATGTCGAGAAATCCCTATTACTTACCACTATTCCCAGTGTAAAGAGGTTACTGTCACTTAACAGTGCACATGATGTAGAGAAATCCATATTACTTACCACTATACCCAGTGTAAAAAGATTCCTGTCACTTAACAGTAGAGAAATCCCTGTTACTTACTACTATACCCAGTGTAAAAAGGTTCCTGTCACTTAACAGCGTACATGATGTAGAGAATTCTCTGTTACTTACCCCTATACCCAGTGTAGAGAGCTTCCTGTCACTTAACAGTAGAGAAATCCCTGTTACTTTCCACTATACCAAGTATAGAGAGCTTACTGTCACTTAACAGTGCACATGATGTAGAGAAATCTCTGTAACTTACCACTATACCAAGTGTAGAGAGCTTCCTGTCACTTAACAGTAGAGAAATCCCTGTTACTTTCCACTATACCAAGTATAGAGAGCTTCCTGTCCCTTAACAGTGTACATGATGTAGAAAAATCCCTGTTAATTAACACTATACCCAGTGTAAAGATGTTCCTGTCACTTAACAATGTACATGATGTAAAAAAATCCCTGTTACTTACTACTATACCCAGTGTAAAAAGGTTCTGTCACTTAACAATGTACATGATGTAAAAAAATCCCTGTTACTTACTACTATACCCAGTGTAAAAAGATTCCTGTCACTTAACAGTGTACATGATGTAGAAAAATCCCTATTAATTAACACTATACCCAGTGTAAAGAGATTCCTGTCACTTAACAGTATACATGATGTAGAGAAATTCCTGTTACTTACCACTATTATCATTGTAAAGAGGTTCCTGTCACTTAACAGTGTACATGATGCAGAGAAATCCATATTGCTTACCACTATACCCAGTGTAAAGAGGTTCCTGTCACTTAACAGTGTACACGATGTCCAGAAATCCCTGTTACTTACCACTATACCAAATGTAGAGAGCTTCCTGTCACTTAACAAGTTAACAGTATACAGGATGTAGAGAAATCCCTATTTTTTACCACTATTAATTGATTGTGGAGATGTCCTTCTTACTTAACACTATTTTTAGAGTTGAGGGAATGCCAACTTAGTCACCACTTTACCAAGAGAAGATCAACTATACATACCACTAGACAAAAGGTAGAAAATTGACTACTCGCTTGAGAATGGAAAATGGTTGTGGTGCACAATATGTGGACCGAGCGACCTCCATCGTGAGGTTTGTATTACCTAGAGGATAAACATTAGAAGCAGAGGACAATTAAACAATATCAAAAGCATGCCTGTTATTATGTAATAAACAGTACAGTAGACAATGAGCTATGTTGACCAGCATTCGTATTATATCACAACCACAAATGCCTGCCAACACATGAAACAATAGGTTTGTTTCCACACATGCCTTGGATGCAGATGTAATTACAAAGAATGGTGCCATGATAAATGTTATCAGTGACATTTCTTCTGTTTTATTTTATATACTGGATGTGTTGTACTACATATGCTAGGGAATTACGCTTGGCGTTACAGTTTTACACTAGGTGTGTCAGACCTTGTTACACTAGCTAGGTGTTAGAGAATTACATGTACAGGAGATGTCAATGAATGAATGCATTAAGCGAGATGTAGGAACTTATACAAGGTGTAAGTGAGTTAAAAATTTACACTAGGTGCTAAAGCAGGTGTTAGAAAATTACACTTGGTGTTAAGTGACAACATTAGTTGTTGAATTACACTAGGTGCTAAAGTTAAATAAGGTGTAAGAATATTACACTTGGTGTTTAAGAATTACACTAGAACTAAAGAATAACACTAAGTGTTGAAAAATTGAAGAATTACACAAAGTGTTAGGGACTTACATTTGATGTTAGAGAATTACTTCAGGAGTAGGTATTGGCCTACTTACGGTATGTGTTGAACTACAATTACACCAGAGTGTAAAACTCTAGACTTACAAATGAACTACAATTACACCAGAGTGTAAAACTCTAGACTTACAAAAGTGTTAAGAATCACCCACAATT